ACTACTTTTCTGAGGGAATTTTCTCAGTTGAGAAAATGTTTTGTTTTAATTATTTCTACAATACCAGTTAATTGAGAAAACAGCTATCTGTTATCAGGATGGCATTAAATCAGGCAAGGTAAATAATTAATTTTCCACCAGTATTTGCTGTAACAGGAAGACTTCATCTTACCAACCAGTAATTGTTCTGTTTCTTGATTACATATTTGGTCTTTATAAAGGTGGAGAAATTTATAAAAGGAGATAAAGCATTACCATTGTTTCAATTAAGTATGTACCAAAGCATCATATATAAATAATATTCTAAAGATTTCATGGTCCAAAGAAATGAATACAATGACTTTGTGAGACCAGTTGTGAAAAACACCCATCTTTTAACTAATTCAGTCATGTCACATTTTTGAGTGGCCAAAGATTAATCAAAATAACTGTGAACTTCATATAGGATGCAGTGTGATACAATAAAATAGTTCCAAAGCATTTGAGAATACTGGCTCTTATATGTGGCCAACTACCTCTTTTCATTGAAGATTCTTGAAAAAGAAGCTGTCTTGCTGGAATGACTGGTGCAAAACTTCAGTGACTATGAAGAATTTAAAATGCTGTCAATTAGACAGTATAATTAAAGTTTCTGTGGGGCTCTCTTTAGCTCCCCCAAAAAATAATCCCTTGTCTACCTCTGTATCAGACCTAACATCCTGATAAACAAGAAAAAACAAAATAAACACAAAAGCTTTTGAAATATATGAACCTAAGAAAATCCTGTTCTTCACCAAGACAGGAATGCTAGCAGAAACATCTAAGGGTTATGGTTGCGATTCCTTTCCCTATCTAACCGATGATTTAATGTTTCCATCAATGTGTTTCTACAGGTCTTGATTTTTAATTTTCTTTGTTCAGTTACTGAATTACTGATGGAGGAAGTCCTTCTGTGTATATGTTGTCCTGTTGGTTGATAAATAAAGCACTGTTGATAAAAAAGGAAGTAAGGTAGGAGGGACTAGGAATCAAGGAGTATTCTGGGAAATGTAATCAAGAGTAGAGTGGCCATGTGATCCCTGGAAGAGAGGACAAAGGAGGCTGCTTCCTCCATGAGATAAACCTTATAAAAATATATATTAGTAACTGTGGGTTAATAATTAAGTCAGAGATAGCCAATTAGGAACTATAGCAAACTGCCAACAGCTTCTTAATTAATATACTGTTTCATGTGTTATCTGGGGGCAGAGACAGCAACAAGACACAGGCAGCTGGTGAGAAAGAAATTACGTTACAAGTTTGACAGTGTTTTGCATTGGAATATTGTATTTGGGGTGATCTGCATGTATGTTTCATAGCCAGAGTCATTCAAGTTTGGTTTCAAGATAAACTATTTCTTTTTTTCCTTTGAGGAAAGGACTGCTTTTGCATTGACATTCTCCATTTCACTTCCTTTCTCTGACTAGTTCAACAAACAAACCTTCTGTTTAGAACTAGCTCATTTAGGAGGAAGCCAACCTGTAATTAGAACAAACAAATGGCTTACATATATGTGTATGTACATAATTATATATACATATACATATGTATAAACACATGCACACATATATGCTTGTAAATATATTAATTACCCAAAAGTGATAAACCATTATTAGCAATTCAAACTCACTATGTCTTTTCCATAACTTCAGGAATAACTGAATTGATTTTTTTGAATACCAATTATTCTTCTAGCATAATTAGTATTAGATTGTGGCAACTTTTGCTTTGGATTTTAAAAAAATTAAATAAGAAGATTTTGTTTTCCTTGTTGATACTTGGCAAAGAAAAATGTGTAAATATCAAGAATTTATTAAAAATTAGAAAAAAAATACAATTGTTTTATGTATAAATACTAGTAGGAGTACATTTATAAATTTCTCAAAAGACTTTCTCTGGCTTTTATATATATTATCCATGAGCAATGATATAATCATATGAGCACATTTTGATTATTGCTTCCTCATAATATTTTGTTCATGTGTCCAAGTTATACATTTTTCTTATGAATAATATTTTGTAACTTTATAAATATATAACAATCTTACTTCCTATGAAATCTTTAGTATTCTTTTATCATATCAATAATGAAGTATTTATTTAATTTTTATGTGATACTGTCAAATATGTTTGATTTGAAATTGCTTTATAAACATTTAAGATATCAGAATGTTGACCTAAAATTATCCATATAATTAATTTGATTCATTGATTTGTTCATGTAGCACATAGTTTTGAAATAGATATGAGACTCTTTCCAGTCCTGCCTATGTTCCAGTTATGGTGATAGAGTGAATAGTACATATCTCCTATATCTTCATCCAGGGTCACTTGTGCACTTGACTCAATAGATTCTGGTCATATTGAAGTATTATTATGTGATTGTTGTAAGGGTGTTTACTCAGCCTTATAGGTATTCATCCTAATGTCTTGTCTTTCATTGTCTCTCTCCAAGGTTGTAACTGACATCCCCATAACCAAGCCTTATACAGAAAATTTAGGCAAAAAAGGGTATTTGTTTTTGGAGTCTGATTATGTAAAGTTAACAACCTAATTCTAATCACAATACATACACCACATTTTTGAGCCATATCCTCTTTTGAGATAGATGGGTAGAAATAATGATATTTATAAAATTTGATCTCTTTATTTAATGAGTGTATGTTTTTTTCTGAGACAGGGTTTTTCTGTGTAGGCCTGGCTGTCCTAGAACTCTCTCTATAGACCAGGCTGGCCTGAAATACAGAAATCTGCCTGCCTCTGCCTACTGAGTACTGGGACTAAAGACATGTACCACCACATCCAGTAATGAGTGTGATTTTTAAGGATTTACTAATAGCCAGAACCATATACATCTCTTATAGCACTGTATAACTGCTCCAAAAGGAAGACTCTCTTTAACCTGTTCACAGACTCTCAAAAACTTTTGCCTATAAACTTATTGCAATATACCACACTGAGATAAATAAAACATATATGAAGCATGTAGGATGTGAGGCTGAAATTCAAGTTTGAGAGCAAAACATTAATTTTACACATTAAAGTGATATTATAAGACTCTATTATGCAAATGTCCAGTGACATTTAAAAAATCTTTCTGTTTTTGGTGGTCTCTCTTGACATTCCCACTCCATCTCTTTTATTTCTGACTTGATTATTCCTGTCCTGTTGCTAGTACCTTCTTTAGTTAATCAAATTTTCATTCACATAATATTTTAGCTTTTCTTGACAAGCATTGTTTTTCAACCAAATTGACACATTTAAAGTCCTTCAAGATAGGAAGTGACCAAGGAGAGATTGAGAATCTTGAAGTCAAAAGTTCTGCAATAGTAATATTCTATTCTTGTCAATAGAGAAATCCTAACAAATGGTGGTCAACATTAATACTATGAATGCAACACTGTATGAATCTGTAATTAGTTCAGCATTTATTCTAAAAGCTAATGTTGTAGCTATTGATAGTGTATTAGAATCACATGACCAGTTGAAATCTTAATGTTATGTCTTTGAAGAAGTGATTTCATTTTAATATGCTTCATTTTTTCATTTTCATAATAGGAATATTTATCATTTATTCTTTCATAATTTTTCTTTGTACCAAAATTTGCATACCAGTCTCATTATGGATACATGTGGAATTAGTATTCATTTCTTTAGTTTCTATATCATCAACCTAAAATGGGGTAAATTATATCTGAAACATTAATGACTCACTGGAATATGTGTATATATTCAAGGTTTTGGTTTGTTTCCATAAACATAAATATGTGTAAAGATGTGTGTATAAGCTGGGCATTGGTGGCCCACACCTTAAATCCCAGCACTCGGGAGGCAGATGAAGGCAGATTCTGTGAATTTGAGGCCAGTCTGGTATACAGAGAGAGTTCCAGGACAGCCTCCAAAACAATACAGAGAAACCCTGTCTCAAAAAACCAAAAAAAAAAAAAAGATGTGTTTATAGATGTGTAATGTGTGTATTACAAAAGTATAAAACTGTAAGTCAAAATAAGGATTAAAAGAATCATACGTGAAAAGCAATACTGGGGATATTACACACATAGGCCTTCAAAATCCTAAAATACAATGAAGGAAAAGGAACACACCGTATAGTCTTTTGGCAGCTATCTCATCCTTTATAAAAAGAGACACATACATGTACAAGATGCATCTGGTAAACTATAGATACTGAAAACTCTATGTTTAATAATTTGTAGATGGTAAAAATATGATATTTTACTATTATGAGAGGAAATAAATACCAGTTAATATCTGAACTGGGTCTTGTACATAAACAATATACTGAACAAATTAATATTGATTATTTCTAAACTTAAAGATTCTCTCAGGTAATAAGTGAGAATGCAAGAGGAAAAATAGATGAAGGAAGTGAATTACTTTTTATTCAACAAATATTAGAGGTCATCACAGGTAAGTAACATTTCTAAGCAAAAACACCAGATAATTCACGCACACTCAACTAAAATTAGTGTTTGCCAAAATATAAGATGGTGTACTCAAAGATACTAAAAACAAAAGAGTTTAATTCTTCCTGGATTGAAAGCTTCTTCCTCTAGTTTGTATTTTTCTTGTAAATTTTGTGTGAATTCATTTTCTGAGTACTAGAATTATGTCTTCTAGACCACAGCATGCAGCAAGAATCTGCCACATTCCATAATCTTCATTTACCAAATATGTTTTCTCTTCAACTGCAGAACCCAGCGCTGGATTTTCAGTGCAAGGAATTGGTAAGTTCCTCAAAGAAGCAAAGCAAATCAAACAAACAAAAACATCATGAAATGTTTGCTTTTACATGGAGCCTTGTGGATCTTTCTTGAATCAACAACCTTGTTTCCTATGTGCTCAAAATGATGACCATTTCTCCTGCCTTTATTAAAAAGAAGACAAATAATCCTAGAGTTACATAATCTACGTGGAAACCTACTCCTGTAGGAACTTCCTAAAACATGTTGCATACACACACACACACACACACACACACACACACACAGACCCAAAAAGGCTCGCTATTGCCCCCTGCTTAAAACTACAGTACAGCAACAAAAATCCAGTTGCTGGTAGTGGGTTACTCTTTCAGATTTGTTAGTGAGTGAGGTTCCATAGAATACAAAACAACTTTAAGATATTCCTAGTGATCTTGTTCAACATTTAGAACTTGGTGGTAAGAATCTATCACTTACTTACTTGGATAAATCAAGCTGTTACTGACCTGGAAACATCATCCCTATCTTCATAGTGCTGCTGGTCTGTGCTAAGCAATCAACTGGAAGAGAAAATTAATACCAGTGTTAGCTAGGTTTGAATTCTGTAAGCTACTATAAGAACTGCTACCAAGGCATACCCACTGGCATAATAGTGGTAAAAATGTCATGGGAGTAAACAATCAGCTTTTGACAAAATTTAAGTATTTAAGTAATTTTATAAGATTAGAGTTCCACTCCACAAGATAAATACATGTCTGATCCAGTTACAGAACCAAGAACATATGGCTAAACAGATCATAGATCACAAGAGAAAGCTTATATTATCTTCTAAATTACATAGTATTTAATTAACCTCTAAGACATAATTATACCTACAGATTTAATAACACATCTCTCAACCTTTGTCAAAAAAATCTGTTTCCAGTTGATAATAATCAACACAGAGACCAACAACTGGCCAACAGACTAGAACAAGGGACTTCAGAATTCTTAGTCTATATTTATATATCACTCCCTCCTACAAAGGCTCAGGAATCATTGCAGAGGAAAAATCAGAGAGTAAGAGTCAGAGGTAGCAGATGATGTTGTGGAAAAATCCTTTTGTAAACTGTGAATATCTATTACTCTCATTTGTTAGTAAAGAAGTTGATTGTCCTATAACATGGTAGGATATAGTTAGGTGGGTCGATCAAACTGAGAAGGAGAAGGGCAGAGTGTGCAGTCCCCAGCCAGATGGAGAACGAGTCAGACGTACAAAATGGGATAAAAGCAAAACCATTAGCCTCGGGGTGGCACATAGATTAATAAAAATGGGTTAAGTTGTGAGAGATAATTAGTAACAAGCCTGACTTTTTACCAGGCATATACAATTATTAAGTATATGTGTTGGTTATCTGGGAACCAAGATGGGGAAAGAAAACTCCACCTACAAGACAGCTACAAGGAAGCAGTGTCCTCAAGTCCCAACAGGGAAGATGAACAAAAGAACTCAACAGTTCTGTGACAGCACAGTATGTACAGAATTCCACATCTAACAGAGAAGTCATTTATCAATTCTTAGCTACTTGTACAGAAAGAGTCTGTTTTCTCTAAAATTTTGCCTCTTATTAAGTCAATCATGCTCCTGTTGAAGGCCACAGACCCAGAAATATTTGGGACGCACAAATTGTCATTGATAGGACAAAGAAAGGATAAAAAAGACAAGGAAAAGAAAAGGAAGAGAGATCAATCTTAGAAGAGTCTGTGAAGAGGGTGACTGTGATCACAAATGGAATTCTCAAAGAATTAATAAAATAAAAGTAAAAGGATGATTTTATCTAATTGCTTAAAGGTTATACTGACATAGATATCATAATGCTCATTGTATTGAATTCCTTAGGCAAAAGGTTCCAACTTAGCTTTTCATCTTATCAGGCAATGCTTATAATAAAATTTCAGCCCTTAAACTGAGGCCTTTTGATCTGGCTATAGCCATTGGGATATGAACACAAAGGAAGTCTGTGATATCTACTTCCCATTCCTCTTCTCATTCATATAAGTCTTTCCTACCCCAGATAACCTACTTATCTGAAATTGGCTTTGAACTTGTGTGTTCTATAGGATACATACTGTATGCTTACAGTTTGTACTCATTCACTAAATTACTAGAAATCTTAATTACTAGAAATCTTAATATGTCTACAGCATTATAGTGTATCTCTTTTTGTTGATTTATACTTATTTGAAATGTGAACAAACCTTGCAAGCAGAAATTATCACCACACGATACTTAAATTATCCATGTTATTTTCAGCAAATGTTACAAACTAGTCAATATATCTCTGCATGATTATAAAATATTAAAGTTTTAAATTCATTGCTTTTTAAGTGTAGCAATTGTTCTTAAGACATTCAAATAATTTTGTTTGTAAAAAGGGTTAGTTAACCAGCAATAGTGGAACAATCCCTCTCCTGGACACCATAGGTTATCAAACAAAAATACATGTGTTAGATATGGGTTAACTCTTTTCTATTTGGTGGCCAGCTCTATCCCATCCATTATTCTATGTTACAATCCAGAACTGAATGTGCTGAAGACACCACATACTGGAGTCACAAGACACTGAGAAATCCAGTGGATGTCAGTGTGAAAACTTTATTCCTATTGGTTAGCATTCTTAGTGCTGGAATGTGCTGCACCTGATACTGGGGAAGAAAATTAATTAACTGTCTTATCCACCAGCGAATCCTCTGAGCAACAACAACAATCAGCTCGATAAGATATATCCATTGGTACAATTGTTGCACACATGTTATGAGGGTAGCCAACCACTTTTTGATTATTTTTAAGGCACAGGTTTACTTGGGTATGGCACTCAAACACAGCAAAAGAGACACAAACTAAGATAACATACATAAAATGATCTTATGCCTTCACTCCCCCCAACTTTCTTATGTTTAAAATTATTTCATCATATGTTATGCTATAGGCAGAAACAGGAAAGAGTTTCATGTTATTGAGTTGCTAACTAATTGGGTTCAATAGACCGTCACAAATATTATTGGCTATTGCCAATACTACGGATTCCCTTCCAACACTCGAGAGTAGAGCTATATTGTTGAAGATTCCATAAACTTATGTCATAGAACATGTAGAAATCTGACTGGTACTCAATTGGAAGTTTCAGCTCTTATTTACTAGTATTCATAGTGCTGGAAAGCACTGTAAATACTATGGGGGTGGGGGAAGAAACCAATCATCAATGTTACCCAGGATTGAATTCTGTGAGGTACAATAATGAACTGCCTATAAGATATGCTCCCTGGTGTGATTATCGATTACAGGAGAAGTCAACCACTTTATTATATTTTTAGTTGGATTTAAAGCCTCCACAGGAAATGAAAACTGACACTGCCAATGAGGCCAAGAACTTGCTTTGAACCTGGGATTAAGCAGTGTTGGATCCTATAGAAGAAACCCTACTAATGTTATTATGCTAAATGAACAGAAATAAAATAACTCCTAACAGGATATTGTTATAGCTATAGATCAATGAATTGCTTAATACTCACTGGAGAAGCTGCTTTTTGCAATAGATCAGAATCAACACAGAAACCCACAACTGTACAACATAAATGGAATACAAGACTTTCCATCCCTTTTAACATTCATTTCTTCAAGAATTCAACCCACTTTTTCTTTTGCAATTTTAACTTAAATATAACTATATTACATCCTTTCTTCCCTTTACTTCCTGCAAGCCATCCACCACAGTCCCTTGGTATGGATGGTACCAAATGGCTAGAGTGGAATTCCCTGCAATAGTGGTCCCTTCACAAAAAGGGTTCATGGCTGTGTATCTGGAACTAGATACGAGGATATGAAGGTGGTGGTGAGAAGCAGGAGTTAGGAAAGTGAAAAAGAAACTTATTCCTAAAAGAGGGTCTTAAATAGACAGACGTACTATTTTTTGATTGCCTGCCTTTACAAAAGACAATGTTTCAGAGGTTCATCCATGTTGTGCAGTATATGGCTACTCGACTCCTCTTGAATTCAAGCAACCCCCACATTTAAAAGAACACATTTTCTTCTTCAGACTATAATATCTATGTAAATCACCAAATGATTTCACTTAAAGGTTATGTTAACTGTATCTCTCTGTGTGGTAGACATGTTAGATGGGGTGAGTTTGATCAAAGAACAGGATGCACTTAAATGAGGACAATTTTATGAAACCTATCATTAAGAATAATGAATATATGTCAAAATATTGGAAACAACAAGAAAGAGAATGTTAATCGATTCTTTTTTCAAAACATAGAATCAATTCATAGAATTGATTATTGAAGCATGTAAGGTAAATAAACATAGTCATCTTGTTTTAGTAAGTTTCTGCTCCTCAGGCAGGAATTTTCTCTGTATAGTATAGACTTATAACTCAACAGGAATGTGCTGTGTTCTCTTCATCCTTTCTGGAGACAATATCTACCATTTTGCATTTTAATTCCCATCAGAATGTTTTCATGTGTGCATAAAGGGAATGAAAAATATGTACACTTCTGTCAACTTGTTGCCCATACTACATAGGATGCATATGATTTCTTCAACACATTTTATTTTTAAGAATATCATTTTATTAAAAATATATTCATTTTTAATACACTACATTCTGATTATGGTTTTCTTTTCCTTCTACTCATCCAGTACTCCCCCAAACCGTCTCTCCTATCCAGACACACCCCGTTTTTGTCTCTCGATGGAAAGCAAACAGGCTTGTAAGGGATAATAAATAAAATAATGTACAATGATATTAAACAAAAATAAATCCATTAAACTAGAACAAACCAATAGAAGGAAAAGAGTCCAAGAAAAGGCAACACAAACAGATACAGATACAGACATCCACTCATTTCCTCTCTCAGGAATTCCATAAGCCATACTTTGGTTTCCCATTCATCTCTTAAGAGACATATTGGTTGTTCCTGATTTCTGGCTATTACTAACAAAGCAGCAGTAAACATGGTTGAGCAAGAATCACTGTGGTAGGACAAAGAATCCTTTGGATATATGCCGAGAAGCAATGTGATTGTATAGCTGGATTTTGAGGTAAATTGTTCTCACTTTTAGGAACTGCCACACTTATTTCCATAGTGACTTGACAAGTTTGCAAGCACACCAGTGATGGATGAGTATTCCCTTACTCCACATTCTCTTCAGCATGAGCTTTTACTTGTGTTTCCCATCTTAGCCATTTTTACATGCATAGGATGAAATCGTAAACTAGTTTGGATTTGCAATTATCTGATGACTAAGGATGTTGAACAATTTTTAAAGTGTTTCTCTGCCAGTTGAGTTTCCTCTTTTCTGAATTCTCTGTTTAGAGCTGTACAATATTTTTAGCTGGGTTATTCATTTCCTTGATAGCCAGTAGTTTTCCTTTTTATATAATTTAAATATTAACCCTTTATTGGATATAAAGTTGCTAAAAATCTTTTCCCATCCTATAAGCTGTTGCTTTGTCAAAATGATGATGGATTTGCCATACAGAAATGTTTGTTTCATGAGGTACCATTTATTAAT